CTCCAGGACTGAATGTGTTCTCCTTGCAGCCACACAGACAGGGCATGGCCATCTGCCCTGGGCTATCCTGGACAGCCACACCAGCATTCATACCCTGGATCCTAGCAGCTATCCAGGGCCTGGAGACGGAGGTTGCACGGTTCCTCCTTGGGCAACTGCTCCATGTAGGTGTGGCAGGGGCAGGGGAGGGGGGTATCCTACAGTTCCATGTGCTGGGGCCAGGCTCAACCCCCAGCACCGCTGGGTGGTCAGAGGCTCAGCCACAGAACTGGAGGGGTGGGGCAGGACCCGTCCCCCAGGCAGGCATGCCGCAGCTGTCTATTTAAGGTATTCCACAGCAGCTGGGCTGCGATCCGTGGAGAGGCCTGGCCCTCCCTCATCCCTGCACCCTTGGCTCCGCAGACAGCTGGGCGGCAGACAGCTGGGTAGGCAGCCAAGGAGGGACTGTGCCTGGACCCCAGAGCCAGGGTCTGTCTGTCTGTCTGCCTCCACCTTGAAGGAGACCCAACTGGCCTGGCCACTCTTCCCCCTAACCCTCCTGTTCCCTTGGCCTAGGTGGGAACAGTCTGGAAGAGCTCAGACTGAATGTGCCCATCCGTAGGAGAGACAGACATCCAGTCCCAGAATGGGATGACCACCGTGGCAGGGAGCAGAGGGTCACGCAGGTGTGGTGATGGCCTGTTGGGAATGGAACGGCCCTCCTGCAGAGGTGGCGGGAGGCTCCCCTCCCTGCCCCCCCCGTCTCCCCCACCCCATGAGCAATCTCTGCTGATCTCATGAGGCACAAACAGGGTCTCGCCCTAAGACCTGAGCTGCAGATGAAGAAACCCACCCCGAGGAAAGTCACAGACCAGGGACACTCACAGGGTCCCCACAGCCTGGAGGGTGTCCTGAAAACACAAGCTGGAGTGCCTCCTCACCAGTTCTACGGAGGGTGCCCCCTCCCCAACTGGGTACCCCAATGTGTGGGATGTATCCAGTCCCCAGGCTGGAACTGGCACATTCTTCCCCATCCGGGACCGGACTTTCCTGTCCTGGAGTTCCCCCGTTCTGTGACCCACTGGGTGACCTCAGAGAACCTGCTATGATTAACCCCCTCCATGACACAATGGACTTATAGTCCCACTCTCTGCATGGGGGCCCCTCCCCTCTCTGTCCCCAGGACTGACACACACCTAACACCCAGGGGCACATCCGAGGTCAGCCACTCCTCCCAGGCAAGGAACCAGGGAGCTTCAGAATCGGAGGCAGGCTGGGAAACAGTGGGGATGGCTCAGAACCAGTGGGCTCATGGGTGTGGTCAGGACACACCCAGGAACTCAGCAGGGCCTCATGAGTACCAGAGAAGGCACGGTACCAGACCAGGAAGGAGTGGCAAGTGCAGGGCCTGCCTTATAAGGCAGCCTGGGGAGCCGCTGCCGTGGCTGTGTGCCAGAGGGAGGCTGCAGGGGCTGAGCCAGCACCCTGCCCTGGCAGCAAAGTTCGGTATCATCACCCAGGGATCTCTGCCACCAGGAACCCACCGTATATAGGAAGATCTCAGCAAGGCCCAGAATAGGAGGAGGAGGCCAGGGAGCCTCGGCTGTCCCTTCTCTTCCGCTATCTAGGTCCCCATACTGTGCCAGGGAACCCCCTCTCCAGTGCACCCTGAGGATGACTCACTGGTCCCTGCCCCCAGCAGCAGGAAACAAGGATCCCTGGGAGGAGGTTGCAAGGGATCCCTGCATATGCCTACAGCAGCCACCAAAATGTTGTCCCCAGGCCATCACCTAGCAGTCATCACCAGTATTTTATTGGGCATCTGCCACGTCCAAGTCACTCACTAGTCACCTGACGGTGCTCTATAATAACAGACAGCAGCCTGAGCCCTGCCCCAGAGGACTCCAGCCTTCTGTCAGAATTCTGAAGCCTACAGCAGAACGTTCAGGCTCGTGGAAGCTTGAATTTTAGCTTTTTCCTAATGTTCACATTTTCTTCATTTTGAAGAATAGTAAATTACTTATTGTCCTATGGAAATCCGTTTCGGCACTGGAAGAAGAATCTAGCAGAGGAAAGATGGTTCGTACACAAATAATTTACATCCTAGGTAAACACAAAGACACCTCAGAGTCATTGGAAGGGAGGCTGTTTCCAGCTACAGGGAAGGATGGATAGGGATTTGAGGGGTGTGTAGGAGTTCGACAAAGCAAAAGTGGAGGTTAGGACATCAGGGTGAGGGCTTTGCAAGGAAGGTGTGAGAGACCCAGAGAAGAGCTGAGCAGAAGAGCTGAGCAGGTACAGTTGGGGAGCAGGAAGGACCTGCTTTAGGGTGTCAGGCCAGGGAAAGCTAGCTCAGCAGGGGACCAAGAGCCCTGTGGATGGGTGACCTGGGGAAGATGGAGAATGAGGTGTCGCCTTGGAGAAGTTGGAGGTCAGGAAATATGAGGCAGGACCCCCCCCATATGATTCCCAATAAACTCCCTGGGGAAGGCCTTGCCTGCCTTGTCCCCCCCGCCCCGCCCTCTGCCTAAAGGAACTGCACCATCTTGAGCCTCTAGATGACTATGAAGGGCCTCTTGTATCTGGGGGCGTGGCTTGGGTGGCTGAGGGTGGCTGGGGTGGCCGGAGGTGCTCAGCCAATAAAGCTGCTGTGTATATGCAAGGGCTAGGCTTATCTCCAGCACCCACAGCCTTAGCACCCACACCTAGAACTTACAACTTTATCATTGGAGACGTATGGGGGTCAGCCAACCTAACAGGCAAGCCCCAGACCTCAGTGAGACACCCCCGTCCCCAGAAAGGGTGGCTGCAGAGATGTCACAGATGTCAAGAGCACTTGTTTGGTCCCAGAACCCACATGGTGGCTCACAACCATCCCCAACTCTCAATATGGAGGGTCTGATGCCCTCTGCTCATCTCTGCAGGTGTCAGGCATGTACACTGTACACAGACATACATGAAGACAAAGCGATCATACACATAAGATAAATATATCTAAAATTAAAAAAAAAAACAAGGTGGATGTCTGCTGAGGAATGACACCTAGCCTCCACCCACACATGCATGCACACACATGCACACATTGCGCACATTCACACATGCATGCAACACACGCATGCGTGAGCACACACGCACGCACACACACACACACGCCTTTCTTCGCCCTGACCTATGCAATCCCTGCCCTGCCCAACAGGTTCCCACAGGGCTCTTCCCACTGACCACTCACCATCTGCCCACAAGCTACCCAGGGCAGAGGCTGCAGACTCCTCCCTGTGGCGCAGGCCTGGCACAGGCCTGCGTCCTCACCAGAGGACAAACAGCATCCTTAAGCAGACATTCCGCACCCCACCCCAGATCAGGGCCACCTTCCAGGCAGCCCAGCACCAGCTGTGATCAACAGCTGGGTGGCTCGGTGCAGCTGTCTTTATCTCCCACCACATCCTGTCTGAGTCAGCAGTGTGAACATCTCATCTCAGGAGAGATGTATCTGGTGTCTTTGGAGGTCTCAAACCGATCAGGGCCTGTGGAGGAAAGCCTCTGGCCCCGCTACTCAACAACAACGCCCAGGGCCTCTGTTTCCCCGACCAGAAGTCTGGACACTGAGTCTGAGCAACTCTCTGCAGGGTCAAGTTTAGGGTTAGGGAGAAAGGCACAGACACACACCTGGGTCTGGAAGGACCCTTCAAACGCTCATGAGTCCCTGTGATCTGACACCTGGCACCCTGGGAAGGCGGAGCCCCAGGTCCCCAGGCCCAGAGGCTCCAGGAGGAGTCTCTGCACCCTCACCGCAGCCTGGTCCCAAGTCTACCAACCACAGAGAAGCTGTGTGCATCACTGTGCTGCAAGCATTGTTTACAAGAACCAAGTGGTGGGAGACGGCTGAGGGCTCATCATCGATGGACAAACTGATTCTACCTGAGGCTAGGCACGTGTCTCAGTGGTAGTGCACTTGCCTGACAAGCACAAGTTCCTGGGTTCAAATCCCATGGGGGGGGTGTGTTCTGTCCATACATACACTTAATTTGTTTTTAAAAGTAACAATTTCTGACATAGGCTACAATATGGATGAATGTTGAGGCCACTATGCCAGACAGGATGAGTAGTGTTGTCCAACCTCAGACAGAATGAAGCATGGAGCTGTGAAGACCCAAGGGAGGAGGTGTAGGGAGTCGCTTGCTTCACGGGGAGCAGAGTTTCTGTTTGGGATATGGGAAAGTTCTGGAAACCCCTGGATGTGGTGGTGGTGGCGCAACCTGAATGGGCCTGACGGCACACTGACCCGCACACTGAACCGCACACTCCCACACGGTACAACAGCCAGCATATGCTGTGTGTGTTTCACTACCGGTAACAAGGAAAGCAGAGAGAGCTGGGATCAGCACCGGGACGGTGACTATGCCGCCGCCGCTGTCATGCGTTCCCTGCCATGATGACAACATCCTCCAGAACCACAAGCCAAAATAAACCCTCCTGCAATGAGAAGAGAGGAAGGCCAGACCGGAGGGAGGGACGGACAGGAGGCCTCCAGTGCGAACCTCAGGACCCACGTTCCGCCTCCCCTGGTCCCCAACCCCGGTCCTCAGCTCTGAGCCTCTAGCAGGCTCAGTGCCTCATGGGCAGAGATCTGAAGCCCAGCAGATCTCCCTCCCTCCTCCCTCCCATCTTCCCTCCAGCAACTTAGCCCTCATCGCCCATGGCTTGTTCCCTGCCCCATGGGAGAGCACAGTGTCTATAGCACCAACTACTACTCTAGCCTCCCAGGCCTGCCAGCTCCAGGATCACATGACAGAGATCGGGCATGGCCCAACTGTTGGCCACCAGGAGCTTGCTGCCCGAGATTTGCTTCCAACTGCAGGCTCCTGCTGTGACTCGAGCCTTGGGATACAACTCTGTGTGTGTGTGCGCGCGCACACACACACACACACACACACACACGCACACGCACACGCACACGCACGCACACGCACACACACACACACACGCTGGATCAGCCTGAACCCCTGCTCTGGGTTACTCACCCTCCTGGTTCCGGTACGGGGCCTCAGCCACAGCCACAGGGGGCCTGGGCTCCAGCCGGCTCTGCAGCTGAGATGCTGGTGCCTCCGAGTTCTCCATGGTCTGGGGCGGGAGTGGGCAGTTGGGTGCCTCGGCTGGCTTGGGCACCTGGATCTCTACCCTCTTGGGGGCTACATCAGTGGCAGGTACAGCAGGGACCTCGGGGATCTTGGAGACAGGGGTCTCCACTCTGCGGTGCACTGACTCCTGAGGCTTGACTATGGTGATCTCCGTCCTCCGAGGGACTGGTTCTGGGGTCTTATGGCCCAGGACTTCGGCCCTCTTAAGCCCGAACCGTGAGGGCCCAGCAGCTGAGCCTGTGTTCTCCACCTGCTTGGAGGAGATGTCAATGGAGAGCTCGGTGCGGCGAGACATAGGCTCAGATGCCTTGGCCCCTGCCAGCTCCACCCTCCGTAGGGTCGGCTTGGGGGAGCGCTGGCTCAGGGAGTCTACAAGGCGAGCAGCAGGCTCTGAGTTCTTCACGCCCAGGTCCTGGAATTTCTGGCTGGAGCTGGCCACCGTGGCTCGGAGCAGAGGGGTCTGGACCCTCCGGGGTGGTGTGGAGTTGGGTGGCTCAATCTCCTCGACTTCAAAGGATCTCTTTAAGGCTGAAAGAGAGAGAGAGGAGAGTGGATGTGGTGTGCACACTGGCAGAGGGGCCCTGGAATCACATGATGCAGCCGTGCTTTAAAGAAGAGCAAGGTGGCAGGCCAGGGATCCCAACTACTTGGAGGCTGAGGAAAGAGGTCACGTTCAAGGCCTGCCTGTGCTACAAGTTCAAAGCCAGCATAGCTAACTTTGTGAGAACCTGTCCCCTTAAGAGCAAGGGCTCAGTGAAGGAGTGCTTCCCTACCCTGGGATGGAAACCCAACTCAGTCAAAGGGAAAAACAAGCGGATAGAGACAGGTGTGCTGGCACAGAGGCCACAGGCCTCAGTAAGCCACCTCCCTCTTCTGCCCACCCATAAAAGAAACAAGCAAGTCCATTGTAGGACCTCCCACAGAGCACTAACTACCAGGAGGCTGGCCTGGGAGGAAGGTAGCCTTGTCTGTTCTGCTGTGGCCACAGCCCAGACCACACAGCCTCTCCCTCTAGAGACAGCCATAGGATGCTCTGCTTTAGGACTCCTGAGATTCTCTCCTCCTCAACACACCCAGACCCCATCAGCCAATAGAGCACCACCAGCCACAGAACAGTGCTCTAAAGAATATTATTCCTTCGTTGCCAAGAGGTGGTGGTGCACTCAGGAGGCAGAGGCAGGCAGGATCTCTGTGAGTTCAAGGCCAGCCAGGGCTATATAATTAGTTTCAGGACAGCTAGGGCTACACAGAGAAGCCCAGTCTTGAAGAAGCAAAACTAAATAAATAAGTAAATAAATAAGATATATTATTCCTGGGGCTGGAGAGACGGCTCAGAGGTGCAGAGCACTGACTGCTCTGACAGAGGACCTGGGTTCGATTCCCAGCGCTCACATGGTAGAGCTAACAACCACCCATAACTCCAGTTTCAGGAGATCCAGTGTCTCTTCTGACCTTTGCAATCTCCTGTGTGTGTGTGGTGCACACATACTCTCACATACACACACACACACACACACTCTCTCTCTCTCTCTCTCTCTCTCTCTCTCTCTCTCTCTCTCTCTAACTAACTAGAAAAAAAAGAAAACAGGATTATTCCCTGCCTGGCCACTGAGACAGTTTAGCATATAAAGGTCTTAGCCATGACCAAGACTGACAATCTGAGTTCTACCCCAATATCCACCCGTTAGAAAGAAGAGACCCCCACAAGCTGTCCTGTGATCCACATGCACACATAACTAACTAAATAAATGTAATTGTAAAAAGGGTGCTATTTCCTTGGCAAAGGATACCCTGTGGCGTGCGCAACAGCATGGACCCATAGCACCTGTGTCTTTGATGCCGAGGCTGCATGTAGTGGCCCTCAGCAGCCTGCTCCCTCCTCAGTCCGGACCCTGTCCACCCAGTACTCCTGGCCATGCAGGGTGCTGACCACCCAGTTCCCACCCTGGGGCCCAGTGTTCCCCCTCGGCCATGCTGACATGGCTACTGTGTCTGCTCCCCGCTAGGGAAGCCTCTCGTCTCTGCAGCCACCAGCGAAATGAGAACCAGCTGTTTAGGTTAGCCAGGCACAGAGCGGGAAGGGCCCACGTGGCAGGAACACTCCACAGCTCTGGCTCCAGACAACGCAGGGTCTTCCTCACCAGCCCCAGAACTCAGATTTCATGGGACACCATGGTGTCCTCTTTCTTCCCTCGGCAAGAAGGACCAAGAGCTGGCCCAGCCCCTAGCAACAGCTCCAGGGTCCTATGTACCTCCCTGCCTCCAGCTTTCTCCAAATGCAAGCACCCCCACCCCCCAGGGCTACTGTGCCAGACTTCCTCTAGAAGACTACAGGCTGGGGCAAGGGCACTCAGTAAAGAACTCAAGTCGGTAAAATGCTCCCAGAATCCACACTTTAAAAAGCCAGGTATGAGGGTCCACCCTTGTAATTGCATCGCTGGGGAAGGGAGCTCGGGGTGTCCCACAGCTCGCCGTTCCAGGTCAGGGAGACCCTGACTCAATAACAACTGAGGTGGGCTTGGGTGAGCGTGCGTGCGACACACAGAGAGAGCATGTGCGCATGCACGCTGCTGGTGTCGGAATTCTTCCCTGGGAAACATGAACAGTGTCTCCTGAGGTCCCAACAACAAATTAAAATGTGATTCCCGAGCTGGCCCTGGGGACTGGTGAGGTGAGGGTACCTGCTGAGCAGCCATTCTAGAGAGTCTTCACCCAGAATGAATGATGGTGTCCCCACAGCCACATAAATGGAGCTGTCAGTTAACCTTCTCCAGCCTCCACACGCCAGCCCCCCTGGGTATCCCCCCACCCCCACCCCGGAGAGCAACAGTGGCAGAATTGCTTTGCTGGGAGGAGTGGCTACAATCTCAGGTGAAGATCCACGCCCCTGCCCACCTCTCTCTCTCTTCTGGGGAAAGCCAACAGTGCACCCCAGATGGGCCTGCAAGCCGGCTATGGTGGTCACACTGCAGAGGGGAGGGGCAAAGGGGCCGAGGCTCCCGGGACTGGCTCCCCAGATTGGAGCACTTCCATGGGGGTCCCTTTCTAGCCCTGGTTATCCTTTGCTTCTGGTGGACACAGAAAGGAACAAAGTCCTGGGCTGCTGTGTCCAACCATCCCAGATGCCCAGGAAGGGGCAGTTACCATCAGCTGATTGGCTGAGCGGGTGGTGACCCAGGGTATCTTTTTCTGGGGGACCTGCAGCTCTGCCTGAGACAACCTGAGCATCTAAACTTCCAACAGAATCTGAATTTTTATGATTCCTCTTGATATCAATTAACTGATTTACCTTGTTTCCTTTTGATTTTTGTTTTTCCAGACAGTCTCATGTAGGTTGACCTCAGACTCACTCTGTATCTGGGCTGACTTTGAACTACTGATATCACATCTCTACCCCTCAAATGCACACATTACATGGGTGCACTACTGTGCCCAGGAAATAAATTTGGGAACCCAGGTATTATATTAAATAATTCCTTAGAATTCTTTATTCTTTTTTTTTTTTTAGTACCTTTGTATATGTCAGATAAATGTGTCCCACCACTGAGATACATCCCCAGTCATAAAATGCAACTTATTCCTGCCCCGACCCCTACCCCCCCCCCCCCCCCCGCATCCTCAGCAATGGGGAAGGAGCCTTGGACTCTGCCTGGGCACTCTGCCAGCAGTGTACACTTCTACGCTGGTGCTGAATGCTGGCACAAAGCAGACTGTAGCAGAGCTGAAGGAAACTGCATCCCTGGGCTTCAGTCCCCCATGATCTCAAGGCCCCTAGGTCCCTTGGCCATCTAAGCAATGTGCACACAGGCAGGAGGAGCCTGCCTTGGCTCGGGACCATCCTCAGATAAGCCCCTGTCCTCCTCAGAAGAAGATTCGGGTTCCCAAGCCAGCTCTTGCCAGTCTTCCCGGATCCCACGCTGCCCACAGCAGCCCTGCTCTACACCACCGGCTTCCAGCAAGCACATTCAGAGCCGACACGGCCCACTCACTGCAATACCACCACCTCTTCAACCTCTAGCAGTGTGGCCGCGGGCCTCTGACTGCGGCAGGAGCCCAGAAGGACCTCGGGAGCAGGGAGGCATCGTCTCCACCCCTAAGGAGCCCAACAAGCTCCACTTTCTTCAAAGGTTAGAAAGCCTCTTCCCCCAAAAGACCTGTACAAGTGCTATCCCCACTGAGCCTGTGGCGGTGATCCTGTGGGGAAGGGGTCTTTACAGGTATAATCAAGATAAGAGCATCTTTTAGGGGCTGGAGAGATGGCTCAGCAGTTAAGAGCACTGACTGCCTTTCCAGAGGACCTGGGTTCAATTCCCAGCACCAACATGGCAGCTCACAACTGCCTGTAACTCCAAGGCCTGACACCCTCACACAGACATACAGGTAGGCAAAACACAGATGCATATAAAATAAAAATAAATATAGTATGTATTTTAAAAAAAAAAAAGACCATTTTGGATTTGGGACAGACACCAGAGTCCTTAAAAACGAAATGTATAAAATTATCTGAGAGCTAAAGAAGCCGGAGGACACAGAGTCAAACATCAGAATGGAATGACACAGCCCCAGCTGCTGGGACAGGCAGGAGGTGCCCTCCCCAGGGTTGCCCGTGCAGCCCCAATGACACTTGGAATTTAAACTGCAGAACTAGGAGAGAACAGATGCGTTGTCAGGCCACCCTGTCCCCAGTACTGCTTTACAGCAGCCCGGGACACGGACCCCTGAGCCACAGGAAAGACGAAACTTGGCAAGGCGTGAGGCCATCAGGTCCTTCCTCTTTGTTAGCTGGAAGTCTCTGTGAAGTCCCGTGAGATGGTACAATGCTCCACACTGAACTGCAGGTCCATCACAGAGCACCTGTCTGTGGCTGTGGACCCCTCCACAGATCTGAGGCGCTGACTTGACTACGTATCAGATCCCAAGGACTGGATTGGCAGAAGGGTGGCCTTACACAGGCCAGCAAGCTAGTGTACCCAAAGGGCTGGTAGGAGGCACCCCAAACTGCAGGCTACCACACACAGACACATACAGGGTCAAGCCATATGGGAAAGGGCTCCACACCGCCCTTGGGACCTAAAAACAGTGCCACCAGCCCTTACAGCAGGAGCGGGTGGTCTCCTTAGCCCTTCCTTGCCCAACAATGCTATGGGGGGCTGACTCCCCCATCCCAAGCCAGGCTCAAATCTCACCTACTTCTAGCCTCCTCAGCCTCCACCATCCTCCTAACTTGAACCAAAGCCTGTTGAGGAATCTCGCGCTTCAGGCCCACTTCTGGGATTGTATCCCAAGGAAATAATCTGAAGATTTATGCACAAGACCATCGACATCAGCAGGGACACGGCAAACACTGGAAACAGTTCGGGGTTACATGCCAGAATCCCATAGAGTCATCCAAATCAGTCACAGAAGAGAAATGCCAAGAATATTAAGGAGCAGGGTACAAGCCGTATTCACAGATCCTAACTCCCGTCACAGGCACACAGGCGCTGGCACCCGCTCGGGGATGACCGTCTCTAGTGGGAAGGACAGGG